GCTTTGCCGGGGGCCGTAACCTGGCCGCCGCCCGCGTCCGGCCTGCGCGCTGGGCCCGCTTCGGTGGGTTCCCCGCCCAGCTGCTGTTGCTGCCACCCGCTATGAATCTGTACCCCTCCCTGGGTGCTGGAGTGGTTGTTGCGAGCCCTCCTCTCCCCGCTGCCAGCTGAGGGTGCTGAAACGCCCGAGAGGGGTAGGGAGGAGCGTGTGGAGGAGGAGGAAATATCTTTAAAGCATTATTAAAAATAAAGAGTGTAAGGTGTACTGATCCTAGCTTAAAACAGCATCAGAAATGAGCTTTTAATGCTGCTCGCAATTCTTCGCTAACCTCGATTGGCTGCAGCGATGAGCATCTGTGGGTGCTAACGTTCTCTTTTTATTATTTATTTGATTGTAAAGGCTATTCTTCTCTAAATAAAACAAAATACTATGTTCCTTAGGTCTCAGAGGGTGGCGTTTCTCACAAATAAATGTGCAAGTATTGGCCATGATGTATATCACTGTGTTTTTAACTATAGACTTAGTTAACGTAATATGCACTATCAACACATAGTTGCACCCTGTAATTGAGGTCTTTTGTCTATGACAGTAAATGACTTTAGTCACGAGGCCAAACTGCCTACCTTGTTTACTTTACAGGTTGTACAGGTGTTTTCCAGTAGGTGACATAATAGCAGACACACTATTTTTGTCAAAGTGAAGTGTGGACATCTAATTACATGATAGAAAAGGCAGGGCCCTCTAAGAAAAGGGTGGTAGGATGGAAGCCATGGATCAGACAGAGTTGCCCTGAGTAGCCAGCACCTCTGACCAGACTTACTACGGTAAGACTTAAGTGATGAAGGAAAAAAGGTATTTTAGTTGTTCACGCTTAGATAGCTTTTTTTGAGAGTAAAAATAGCCTAATAGATTAGAGTTGAGGAGACCTGTGACCTGCCCGCTGCAGCGTGATGGAGTCCCCACCGCAGGGGACAGGAAGTGTTCTGCAAGCCATCAAACAGCGAATCTAAACTGTTTTTGTGGTATATCCTGTACACCAGCTATGATATACTCTTACCACTATTTGAATATGTAGTAGACACTTGGACAAATGAGTAACATCAAAAATTACCTGATGTGGTATAAACTTTTTTTTTTTTTTTTAAATGGTAGCTAGACAATGTTTTGCTTCAGATTATTCCCTGAATTCCGCCTGAAGGTGGACTAAAACTTCACTTACTGGTCAAGCTATTTTGCATTTGCCTTTTACTGCAGAAGTCTTGTTCCTTCCCTACAGAATGATTTGAAACTTGCCGTTGACAAGATCAGTGTGCTGGATGAAGTGAGGTGACAGTCCCGTGTTACATAACAAATCCCAGTCTAGACTTGCTCAGAATAGACACAGGCCTGTTTATAAGAAATTCTCTTACAAATCTAATCAGAGTTTTAAGAATGCTTCACTCCAGGCTTGGGCACCTTTTAGAGATAGTATTCTCCTTTCCTAAACAGTGCTTCCCTGGACAAAAGAGGGGAAAAGACGATCTCTGGAGCCTAATAGGCTCTTTTAATTGTCCCCAACAGCTTGTCAGCTCTGTGCCTTGACTAATAATAACATTTTGTTGTTGAACCTTGGAAACCTTTTGGTTTACAGCATCATTGAGAAAGGTGAAGAAAACTGTGGGCACCTTATTGAAGCTCACAAAGAGTGCATGAGAGCTCTGGGCTTCAAGATCTGAGAAAGATGAAGAGGACTGTGAATGTGGTGAGTATAGACTTCAGCAACGTGCTCGTTACTGGATCTCTGCTTCTGAAGTGCCCTGGCATCTGAGCAGATGCCACTGGAAAACCCATAGTACTGTCAATGATGGCAAAGACATCTTCCTTAAGAGGGAGAAGAGAAAGCAGTCCTCATTGGCACTGGAGTAACTACTGCTGGCCTTGTGAGAGTGGTGAAGCCTTCTAGGATTAAACAGTCTTTGTGAGCAGCTCTTCAAAAATAAAGGATAGGTCTGCCACTGTTATTGCTTAAGAGATCTGACTTCAGTTTAGATTTTTAATGGTTAGGGCAGTGGTCTTTTTTTTTTTTTTTTTTTAAACACAAAAGCTAAACAAAGGAGGGAGAAGGAAATCTTTTCTTTTCCTCATTGGAAAGGTGTGTCTCACCGTGGTATATTTCTGGTATTCAGAAAAAAATTTTAGAAGCCTGTCTAGGAGCAGACTCAGGCTGTTTGTATATAACCCTTAGTGACTAGAGGATGCTGCACTGTCCCTTGATACCCACTGGAAATCCCTGTTTATGAAGCTGTTTATCCCCTCTCTTCCAGGTAATGTCTGTTGCGTGACTGGTATTCTGGAAAGCTGAAAAATATTAAATTATTTCTGCAAGTTGCTTCAGAGGACCGAATATAAACAAAGAATCTATTTATAAAGAATTTCTAATGATAGACTGTGTATCACGTCTCTGGCTTTTCCACTGTTGGCTCTTGACTGCTGCTATAGAAAATATATTTTTTCTCTTAATAAAAATCTAAAAATGACCAGTCTTCCTGACCTTTGTTTCTTTTTAAGAAAAAAATGACAGTATCCTCCTCATTCAAACAGTGTGCTACAAGAAAGGAGAAAATGAGAAAAGCTTCGTTACTCAATGAAATGAGAACAGCAATTACTTTGTGGTTGAACAGAAGGGCCTTCAGTGGGTTTTCCCTCTGATGCAAATTGAGAAATCATGCTGGTAACACTGTTGCAATCAAAAAGCATGATCATGCTGAGGCTTGTAGCGCTGTTTGTGACTTGAGCGTAACTATATTTGTGTGACAATAACCACAGTCTTACGAATGGAAGTTTCCTTAGTGTCAAAGCTGGATTTACTTTCCCTTATTCAAAAGCTGAAATTATTCTAATAGCACAGTTTGACCCTAGGATTCAAGCTTTATACTTTATGATGGAAAATTAAAAACTTCCCATGCCAAGCTCAAGTTCTTGAGTCTGTAGGTTTTTCAAGGGAAGGGGAGTGGAAGAATTGAGATGTATGTTGGTACAGGTCACCAGCTGTGACCATTGTAGCTGGTTGGGAGCAGGACCCTTTACCCCTCTTGGCATTTATTGTTGCCTTGAGATTAGAAACTGAGACTGAACTAGTTCATTTATTGTTGAACCAGCTGGCACCAGAACTTTGGAACTGAAGAGGATGTTCAGAGAACTGGCAGAAGAGCACTGGCTTTGGGACAGCACATTCAGTACGTGTGAAACTGGAAATTGTGTCGTGAAGAGCAGGGTAGAGGATGGCAATAGTCAAATGAGAGCGGAGAGTTATTTAAATGAGGTTGAGAAAAGAAAAAAATGGGTCTCTATGCAATTATACACAAATTCGAGAGGCCTAAGAAATGGGACATCTAGCCCTATATGAAGGTAAGGTCATGGCAGATATTTTAGAAACACTTCAGAAGAGGGATGATCAGTGGGATGCTGCAATAACCAGTGTGCAACAGGTACTGAAGAAATACTGGACAGCTACATACTTTAAAACTACAACAGAAGAAACTTGTAGTCAAATCAGATTACTTGCTGAGACTTAATTTGTTACTACAGAATTTCTGTGGAGTGAATTCAAGACCTAATTCTGTGGTGTTTTTTATTTGCTCCATATTACTACTTATCTGATGAAGCTGGTGACAGACTCTGTCTCGCACAGAGTGGTCAAAGAAGCTGTGAGGGCATGATAAGCATGAGTAGTGGGAAACTCAACCAAACTATGTAGCAGTAGTTCACCTAAAGACAGTAGATGTCATCTTTGTCCCTTTCTGGCTGGCCGTGAGCATGTCTGGAGCAGGCTTTAGACCTCTCCCAATCATTGTAAATCTAATGGGACTTGAAATAGCAAGTAGATATTCTGTGGCAGGATTTACTAGTGTGTAAGTAACAGTTGTGCAGAGTTCCCTTCCTAAAGTGAAGTTTTTGACTTTTAGTTCTCCTAACAGGAAAAATGTCAGTAATGCACTGTATAACAAATCAGAAAGGAAGAGTCTTATTATGCCCTCTTTGACTCTAAGCCATCAAGATCTTAGCGTCCTCAACACAGGTTATTGCACTAGTTTTCACCTTCTGATATCAATAATAACCTTGCAGACTTCCTGATGGTGCACAAAGTAACCAGCCATGTAGCTAATGTGGGATCTAGGACTGATAATCTCTCAGTACCTGGCTGTTCTCATGGATACAGGTTAATGCCAAGTATGCAAATTCATTTGCCAAATACTATGCCGGCTGCTGGATGGCGTCATTGCGTACAACTTAATACAACTTAATATAAGCGCCATTGGCAGAATTCATTATATGTGCGAAACTTGCAGAGTGGGAAACCTCACAGAAAGACTTAAAAATGGAAAAGATTGTTCATATGGCTAAGTTAGAGTAAAACTAATGCAGTAGAATAACTATTTACATGCTGCCTATTTCAATGCTGAAGAGCTTGGAATGTCAATTTTTCTCTTCATGGGCTCATTTTGTTGTAATACCTATATGTCTTTTTTCCAGTGAAGCCTTTTAAAGCTGCTCAAGTGTTTTCTACGTACTTGCTCTCTGGAGCCCAAATTGTTTTTGGCCCTGCTATCTTCCCTTCTAATATTTATGTGGCTTCCCCTTGAGTCACTGCTAGCTTATGTACACTCATATCGGGTGAACCCCAGCAACCCCCTGGATGGAAAGCATGTATTCTAATCCTAGGTAAGTTGTGACGATAGCTCTTCTCTTCTAGAAAATTCAGAAAGCTCTTTGAATTTTTGCTGTGTGGAAACCTGAAAGTGCTACCTCATGAAGAAGGGTCTGTGTGGCCACTGTACTCTCAAGGGAGAAAGTAAGATCCGAGCCTTGGTAGTTCAAACCTTTGCAAATCTTGCCATAAATAAAGTGGGCCACCTAAACTAATCTCTAATATGTGCTTGGTGATCTACTTTTTAAAAGCGTTGACATTTTCTGCCAACATCTCTTTCAGCCCGAGCAGAAAAGCTGTATAGTTTGTAATGAGAGCTTTGTGCTGTTATTGCTGTGGGATTAAAGCCTTCTGTCTGTCTTCCTCAGTGAAAGGAATTATTCAGCACATCTGAAGGCCAGGAGTAGTGGATCACTCAGTGCATTTCTATATGCTGCCAACTGGCCAGGGTGCCTCCCCCTCCTGGGAACATGTGGGCGTGTGCCACCAGCTACAGATCCTTTCTTTGGTCTACTTGCTCATGAACAATTTGCTAATCTTTAAAGCTTATAACCTTGAGACATGCCTGGGTAGCTGCCAAGATCACCAAAAGGTGCTTCAGGAATTCTTTACTACAGCTAAAGCTTCTATACCCAAGAGGTCACTTCTTACCAGACACCTCCACAGGAACTGATGCAGATATATAATTGAAGTGACCACAACAACTTTGGCTCTCAACGCACATTACCATTTTGGGTTTTCCACTCTTATCCTCAGTAATGCAGGCTTTGATATGTGTGAGTTATGATTTTATTCTCTTCCTGCCTTCCTCTCTCCTTCTCCTTGTCCTGTGCTCTCACTAATATCAAGAATCAGAGGGCACGACTAAAAATGCTAATAAACAGGAAATCCTACTCTGGAATATACTGCATGCAATCTTAAATACTGCAGTTACTGATAACTGCTGTTCTTTTCTAGGTAAGACATGTTCTGGAAGATATCACATGAAACACTTTCTTTGTCCTACTGAGTTGTTAATGTGGTGTTTCAGACTATCTTATAGCTCAGGATTGCCCAAACTGAGGAGTGAAATTAGTAAGGTTTTTTTGTCACTTCTTTGTTGCCTCAGAAGATTTTGGATAGTACAGAAAGGAGAGAGAAACTATGACCTGGGGCCGTGTGCAGAAACGGGATCCGAAAGAAGGCAAAGGAAGAGCTGGAAGGCGTTTTACAAACTATGCTGAGGCTGGGCTGTGAAGTGGTGCACCCTCTTATTCAGGTGCAGCAGATCATATCTGGCAATAACCTTACTGCAACTTGCTTTTCAGAATTCTTCCCTTAATGTAATTCAACAGTTCAGGTGCTTTGCTTTTTGTCTTGTATATCTTATGTAAATTATCTTTCTGGTAAGCGTTCCCAATCTTGATATTACAACCCCTTCGTCAGTGCAGGTATAGTGCTTTGTTAGCCTTTTATATTAAATGTCAGCTTATCCTAGAAAGAGATTCCATGATAATATTGACTTTCCAGACACCTAAATATAGACAAATTATTGTTGGGACTACCTAGCAAGTAAATCACAAAGGTAGAACTCTGCTCCCAAGCTTTTTATTGTAGTGCTTTGGGCATAAGATCGTCCTTCCCTCTTTGCAGAGAAGACCAAGAGAAATAAAGTAGTTTTCCATTTCCCCATAGCCCTTGCAGCTTGTCCTGCTTGAGTGATAGGTGTGATTCCCTCACTTAAATGAGGGATCACTGAACACAAGGTTCCCGCTTTCATTGCAGCCTTAGCAGAAAGCATACTTCTGACTGAGTTGTACTCACAAAGCTTTTAATTTGTGTTATTTCTTTACCATATGGCAATCTATCAAGATGGCACAGCCTTCAAAGCTCTTTATTAGAGTAGTACTATTCAGTGTTCCATATGGACTAATCATTGCAGAGATAGGCTGTATCATCCAAGGCCATGACTAATTTTTTTATGGTTGCCTTGAAATGTTACTTTAGCCTCTTTCAGTAGATAGTGCTATTCCGGAGCACTATTGGTAGAAGAGCTGATTGTGTTATCTTTAAGTGAATGGTGCCAATGGAATGGTATGTGAGGCAGGGCAGCTGCAAATTCATCCTGAAACACAACCAGTCTTGAAATCCTATCTCTACTCCACTGACCCATGCAGGCTGACTTCATACTGTTGACGGACCACGCAGGTTGCGTCAATGCCTGAAATGTAACTACTTCCAGGCAGTTGGGCAGATTCTGCCTTTATGACTGATGGCGTTTTACTAGAAGCAGGAGAGGAGTTACTGTGCTTTGCTGTTCTGTGGCAGGCCCTGTGAGAATTGAGGAGAATGTGCTGGATCCTTGGATCGAGGTGAAATGTGGGTGCTGACTGCCAACATCATTATCTAGCACTCCTCTCTCTGTCTTTTCACAATAAAAGAGCCTAGCAAAAACCTATGATGTTAGTGATGGCCTATTTCTCCTGCTCTCTGTATGGTGCATTGCATTTGCTTTTTTTTTTTTTTTTTTGAGGTCTTTTATTAGAGCTTTCTGGATTGATTGGGAAACGTACTGCAGCCTTGGAGTAGTTGGTAGAGAGGCAGTTCTGTGCACCTGTGCACGCCTTTTCTATGGCTGGCTGTGGAGGACTGAACTCAGTGGGTCCTTCTTGTACCTTTATTCCACGTTAGCTGATACAGAGATGTTTGATTTTCTCTTCATGCTAAATGAAGACCCAAGGTGTTTCTAAATAGCTATTAAAAAAAAGTGACACTGTATTTCCCAAGGAGTTAACTTTCTGCCAACATTAAGTAGCACCAGCCCAGGCTGGGTTTCTCAGCACTACCAGAATCACTGGTTTTTGTTTTAAGAGAGATGGGAATACAAGACCTGCTCGAAGTCTCCCATCCCTGCCCAGTATCCTTTCTCCTGTGTATGGGATAAAAGTGGAGCTCCTCCAGAACCTGTTGTCCATGGGATAAGAGATTCCTCCCTTGACGAGAATTTCCCAGCAAAGCACACTTTCAAGTGTTATGCTCTCAGACTTTCAGGCAGGATAGTGTCGTCTTCGTGACAGACGCAGTTGAGTCCTAAGGGCTCATTTCCTTTAGCTTTGTCCCTTACACTCACAAGTGTGGTCCCATGTGTAATTTTACTTTGTGTCCCGTGGTCTAAAATGCCCCACAAGATGGAGCTGCCACCATCTCTGTAGGGGGGCTGTGCTACACAGCCTATCATTGGAAAATATTTCCCAAGAATCAATCTCCCTTCTTTTGCTAAGTTCCTGCCATTACTACTAGTTAACAGTTCAAGAGGGAGATTACCTTTTTCCTTTTTTTGTGCTGGATGAAAGGCACTCTTCTGCAAGAGCGAAGAACAGTGTATAACCCCATGTGTGGTTAAAGTCCACAGCAAGAAATTAGCTGTTTTCCTTTCTCCTCTTTGTACTGTGCTGGGCTTATCTGGGTGTCTGAGTTATGTTAAGTAGCGGGTGCATGCCTGCCCTCTGTTCTCCTCACTGCTTTTGCTCCTTGGATTTCAATTCCAAACATGGTTATCCAGTTGGGGTCTCTCCACTTTCCGTTGCCAAGTGATATACATTCCAAATTCAACACAAGCTCCCTCTGCTCTGCTCCCCTCCCCGCCCTGCTGCTCTCTCACAGTCTCTGTTTTCACTGCCAGAGGGCTGGAGAGAGAGACGGTGCAACAAGATCTCTACCCAGTCCTCTCCTCTATGAGTTTTCCAGCTAATGGCCTCCATGCTTTCTTTGACTGAGCTCTTTGGTCTTGTATTTGCCAGCTCCGTTCGGTACTGGCGAAGGCTAGTGTAGGGGCCAGCCGCCAGTTTGTGAGCTGCAAAGAGGAAAAGGAAGCCTTTTGGGATTTGTCAGAAGTGAAAAACATTCAGAGGCACTTTACTGTGTCGCTCTGAAGCACGCTGCTGTGGGACCGGCCGGCCAGCGCTCAAGAGAAGGAGGAGGAACAGCTACCCGGAGGCTCTGGTTTCAGATCTCTGCAGGCTTTCTGTATGACAATTCATTTGTAAAGCAGGAAGGACAGGGAGGGTGGGGAGCGGGGAAGGATGAGTGGAAGCAGCCTCTCCTGGGACCAGGCCATTCTCCAGCCCCCTGTGTGCGATGCCTGGAAGGAGCACATGGAGGGAGCAGCCTACCAGCTGGCCAGTTGCATTGTCCTCCTGGGGTACATGGGGGGAAGTGGCATCTTTGGCTCCCTCTATATCTTTGGCCTACTGGCCCCAGGCTACTTCTGCTATGCTCTGTGGGGCTGGCTGAGTGCCTGTGGGCTGGATATCTTCATCTGGAACATGCTGCTTGTCCTAGTCTGCTTGCTTCAGCTGGCTCACCTGGCTTACCGGCTCCGCAAAGACATCATCCCAGAAGAGTTTGACCTTCTCTACAAGACCATGTACCTGCCCTTGCAGGTGCCTCTGGAAGTCTACAAAGAAGTTGTGAAGTGCTGTGAAGAACAAGTCCAGTCATTAGTCAGAGACCAGAATTACGCAGTGGAGGGCAAGACGCCCATTGACCGCCTCTCCTTGCTGCTGTCTGGCAGGTAAAGGCTTCTAAACAAAGTCTGATAGCAAAGCAGCATGGCTTATCGTTCCATGCGTTTGTCTTTCTCCTTCTGTATAAATGGGTGGTGGTGATCTCCTTCCTCAAACAGGGTTTTGAGGCATGTGTCTATTGGGGGTGAGTTTTTTTTTTTCAGTTTCGTTGTTTTGTTTTGGGGGATCTTTTAAAGTTAGAATATTTCAGGGAGTGGTTTGCAGAATCAAACTGTATACAGTGAAGCTGTCAGCTCAGCCCTGCTTGTGATACTGTTGGGGAATCCTTACCTCTTTTTCTGTCATTTTAAAGTGATGTTATTTCTGACAGAAGAGGACTTGGAGTCTGAAAGCCTTGAGAGATTATTTCTCAAGGCAGGAAGCAGATGTGCCTGAACCTGTGGTCTCTGTGGCATACTGTGTCTGTGGGTACTAGACACATCTCTATGGTGTGAATGGCCATGCAAGTATAATGAGTAGTAGTTGTTGGTTCACCTGTTCACCCTGGCTAGCAGTGTCGAAGGGAAAGATTCTACCCTCTATTCCCAGGGCTTGGAAATTTTTCACTTTGAGAGTCATTTCATTACACAGAGAGAGAGCTCTCCTGTGATAGATTCCACCTCATTAGGCCTCTTTCTTTCTGTGCTCTCATCCATTCATGATGTTCCTTCCTCTGGATCATCAAAGAGGACCCCATGGACATGTAGGTGGTCGCAGCTGATTGCCTGCAAGCAATGTTTGGTTGCTGTTTGTTCACTGGGGGTTTGATTATTGAGTGAACTGTGCTAATGAAGTACATAACGTTTGTTCACCTGAGATCCTGTGGCATGCTTCTATGAGCTTATCTCTTTTCCAATATGCAACATCAAAATGTAGAAAGGTAATAGCGATACTAGCTTTCCAGCTGCTGCCATACACTTGGCATCAACATCACCTGGGAGGGGGACAGGAAAGAGACCAGTAAATGGGAACAGTTTTAAGCTGTAGGAGCTGTGTCTCACAAAGATTTTCCTTTGGGAAGACAAACCCAGCTTCACCTGGAGCTCACGTGTTTTACTGCAGTAGTCCGTCCTCCCTCGTGGGGATGGGGGATGTAAAAAAGAAGGGCTGTCCTTCCTTGGTGTTTGTTCCTTTCCCACCTTTTCTAGGATGTGTTAAGAGAACCCTGGGACCACTATCCAATGCCAAATGGCAAAAGGCAGCAGCAAACCCTTTGCTAGCAACCCTTCTCTGGTGATCTCAAAGCACTTCATAAATAACACCTCTAAAAGCTTCCCTCTGCAGGTGGTTGTAGCTGAACATACCTAGCCCAACTACTGTGTGCTTAGAAAGTGCTAGTTGTTTCAAGGCTAATCATTCAGTGTTTGTACAGCTCTCCTGGTCCAAGAATTCAAATCCTTCTCTGCCCTGAGTTGTGTTCTTTCTTCTTTTTGAAAAAGGGAGAAACTGAAGCCTAAAGAGAAGAGTAAGTTGCATTGCAGGAGACTAGTGAGGAGTCACAGCTGGAACCCAGGGAATCCTGATCCTCAGGTCTCTGGTCAGTTCACTGCTTGCTCTCACCTTACACCCATTGCTTAAGGCTGTGCTGGGAGAAGGAGGCTGTGTAAAAAGCAGGCTCTATCTGAGTAAAGCAGATCTGTGCACTTGCCAACCTGCTTCTTTCTACCATCTGAAGAACAGCTAATCCAGTAAGAAACTGCTGGGGGAGGAAACTGAGTACATGTATTTCTATTAGGTGTCTTTTTCCTCACCAAACAGCTGTGCTGAGCAGCCTCCTCTGTAGTGTACCGTATCTGCAAATAATGATAGTGGGGGGAGTTTGTGCTGTCTTACCTTACACTGGATGCTCTGATGCTGCTCTCTGGGCATGGAAGTGCTGCAGCAGCCAGCCAGAGCTGGAGGGGCAGTTGTTCTGCTCTCTTTTGCAGTGGGAAATACGCACTCCTCCTTTAGTACAGTATGCTCTGTGGAGGTGAGGTTGAAGTTGTATTTCCTGGAACCCACTCTACTGCTTTGCAGTGAGCTTGTGCGGTCCTTGCAGACCCAACAGATCATTGCTACTGTTATGGTGCTCCCCTTTTAAACTGAAAAGTACTGAGACAGGGGAGTCTTGGAAGGGCAGAACATGCCTGGATCAGAAAGCCTGCCTTGTGTTTCCAGCTGACTTACTAACAATGAATGGAGCCTTATGATTCCTGAAGGCTAGAATTGTCTTTGTGCATCGTACAGCTGGGGATTGTGAGGGCAGGGGAGCAAGAGGCCCCAAATCACACAGCAGTGTGATGGTGCAGAGTCAGAAATGCACCTCACATTCCCTAGACTTCTACATTTCCTGCCACAGCCCCAGACCTGTGCAGCTCTTCCTTTCTGCTCCACAGCAGAGCTGGGTGCACGATTGACCTTGACATTGCCAGGCAATTGCAGCAAAAATAGGAGAAAGGGATACTTGGAAGGCAAAGAGGCCAGAAGAGATTGAATGATAAATGGCAGCAAACTATGAGCTTGCAGTGTGATGTGCCAGGAAGGATGGTCAGTGTCATTTTTTGGGTTCTCGATGTAGAGGCTTCCCAGCATCGAGGCAGTAAACACTCCCCCCCAAACTTTGAGGAGAGGAGGAAGAGGTAAGTACAACGAGCCACAGTCAGGCTTAGAAGTACTTGAAAAGGAGCAGCCTTGAGCAATGAGAAGCTCTAGTTGATGAGCAAGTGTGTCACGTATGAGGGCTGGCTTTTAGCAAGAAACAGAAAACACAGATGGAATATGGGGAAAGGGCAGTGACCTCCATGAAGACGGTTCCCCACAGAGGAAGGGGGGACAGCCCCATAGACTGAAGCATTTGCAAATGCCCTTGAGAGGGTATAAGACATGTACCAGGTGGGGAGAAGGCCTTTCCTCCCTGGTAGGGATAGGCTGCCTGCACATTTTGTGAGCTGGACAGGTTCATGCGACATCTATTTTGTGCCTTAAGTTTGTGCATTTCATCTATCCTTTCTGCAGAATCCGAGTGAGCCAGGATGGACAATTCCTACATTATATATTTCCATATCAGTTCTTGGACTCTCCAGAATGGGAGTCACTACGACCCTCTGAGGAAGGAACTTTCCAGGTAACTCTGTGCAACCACCTTGGCTCTGTAGGGGCCCAGGCTTGCTCCTTGCCACTTAGTGATGTGCCTGGGAAAGGGACAGAGTGGGTTCATACCTGCTGTTCAGAGCTAACCAGGAATAATTTCCTGCCCCTTCTCATGGTTAACAGCACAGGACGGCATGATCAGCTGTGTTGCTGTGCTTCTACCTTCCTCTGAAGGAAGGACTGGGGTGCTAGTTGCAGGTTAGCAGGGAGACAAGGCATTGGATTACCGGCTCACTGCCACTACGGTGCTCTAATACCTACACTGATGCATTTGCCCTGCATGCTGCTAGAGGGATGCATCATTTCATGATCAGGACGGCAGCTGTGGCAAAATGTGACAGTGATGTAAACCCATAAATATCCCATTCCATGCAGAAGTTTCTGATGATGATGTGTTTGGAGCGGAGAAGTAAAAAGGATGATTCACGCCTGAATATGGTTCTTTCTGAGTACAAGAATCCCTTCTTTAGAGGTCAGACCAATTCTTATTTGCAGCAACTGAAAAATAGGGTTTTGCCCTTGCTGTCAACACCATTGTTTGGCTTTCCTTCTGGAGGAGATTACTCAAGCCCTCTCTGCCTTTAACTTGCAAGCCAGGATAGGCTGATCCCTATCAGGATGTGAATCTAGAATATGCCAGTTAGGGCCTATAAGGAGGGATTTTGCTAATCCCTTGGGAGTATGGGGACAGTCATGAGGGAATGATGATGCTTCCTTATGAGGGCAGTCAAGTTCAGACTTGGTTAAAACAGCGCAGCTCTCAGAATCTGCTTCCCCTGGCTCTGAATTTGGCCCTTGTACTGTGTGAGGGGGTTCATGGCAGCCACTCCTGAAAGCTATACAGATGATTATGGTCTTGCGAGAAGAACAGTTGCAGGCAATGACTGACCTTGTGAATGTGCCACAGTTACAACTTGCAAGGAGGTGGGCGGCAGAACCTGGGATGTCAGGCCAAGATAACAGGGCAGATGAGTGTAGGAACAGTGCAGCTGTGCTGGCAGTGGGAGTGTCCCAGGCTCAGGTCTCCTGCCCAGCGGCAGATTGCTGTTAGCTCCCAGGTCGTGTTTGCACGAGAGCCAAGTAGAGAGAAGGATGGCTACCCAGTACTTCCTGGGGGAAATATTCCCTCTAAGGGAGGAGATAGCTGTCTGGATGACATGCAACCTGCAAAGACATCTGAAGTGCTTTCTAAGGCAATTTCTGTGGAACTGAATGTTCCCAGACCTCCTGAGTGTCTTTATCTGCGGTGTGTGAGAGAGCTCCAGAGCAAGCTGGGGCTACAGCACAGCCCTGCAAAGCACACGCTCTTGGCCTCTATCCTGTTCAGTGAGACGCAGCTGGTCAGGGAGATCAGTTGTGCCTGGCACCAGGAGAGGAGGAGAGGTTCTAGATGGCGGAAAGGCTGCAGTGGTGTGTTGGAAATGCCTCAAAATCAGGTCTCCTTACTTAGGAGCATGAGGAAGGAGCAGGCTATGTGAGACTCATGAAGCATTCATTAAGCAAGACACGACAAGTCCATTTTCCTGGCAGGACGTTACTTTTGACAGCCATGCTTAGTTATGGTGATGTGCTGTTTTTGGCAGCTGTTTAACCTATCAGTTCCTCTTATCTGAGTTGTTTATCTCAATCTTATTCCCAACATCAAAATCATTTGGGTAAAGAAAGCATGTTTGACTCTAGGACTTTGTTTTAGGAAGCCAGGGTTTTCCTGTTCAAGTTCTCTTCATGGCTGTCTGAGTTGAGCAGCTTCAATTCTGGGCCTAGCAAAAAATGGCAAAATCTGACTCATTCCATAAGACGATCCAGTTTCCATATGCTTTCTGCTTTGGCTGTGTCTTCTTCCCACAGAATTGCTGGTTCCCAGTGTCTGGAGGAGTTGGGTTTCACGACTGGCCCTCATTCTCCAAGAAGACTGAATTATGAGCTCTGATGAGATGCAGAAGCATGTGTGTCAGGGGGATTCATGAGTGAATTCTGTCCTGCTGCCCTGGTTAAGAGAGAGGTTTTGTCATTACATTTTACTTTATCCCTTGCGAGAAGCAGAGGGTTTCAATAGCTTTGCCAGATGGTGGTTAGGAAAATGAGAATCTGGTCATTCAAATTTCCATGTGATCCTTACTCCCTCTCACCTTGGCCTGGGAAAGTTGTCAGGTTTTCGCTCCTATATTTCTTTCATAAGGCAGCTGCTTGCAATGGCTGTGGCATTAAATATCAAACCCAAGGACACACGCTTGTAGCCAAGCCGTGTTTAGCTTCCCAGTGGCCTCCTGCCATGGTGGCTGGCCAAGGAGACCCCTGGATATAGAGTGAAAGGGAGCCCCCGGGATATTTTGGCTCTAGCATTTGTTCGCATACTGGTGTCTCCATTACACTCGGATGTTCTTCTCTGGCTCAAGGCAGTTTGACCCTTCACATGTTTCTCTATCTTGTGGCTTGTTTATTATGATTGTATTTCTATTTCAACCCAAACATATATACTGTATATGATTTTTTTTACTATTATAATTAGCCTAGTCTTGTTGCTAGGGAAAAAATGCCTTTTTTCTGTTGGCAAAACCCAAAGCAAAATGAAGGTACTTAAAATCAACCAAGTGAAACTTCTAATAGCCTGAGATGGACTCAGTTCCACCTTAGATTGTTATGTCTGACATCCTCTAATTGTCCATTCCTTCCCTACACGCAAACATAGTAAAAACTCCCTATGATAGCCTTCTCCTGCTAAACTGCCCTGTGCTGCTGTGCATTGTTAAATGCTGTTCTGCCTTTTACAGCACCTGTGAGAGCTGAAGAGAAGCAATGATGTCCCTCAGGTGAAAAAAGGCAACCCTACCAGGTGGCACTTCCCATGCCCCAGACCTTCTCAAAGCATGGGGGTGTGCAACCCAGCCTGGGAAGAGGTGGCAGCCAGTGATCTGGGCGTGTTTGACAGGCGCAATTGCCCCTCTATTTCTGTAGAAAGATGAGGCCCTCCATGCTGTATCTGCCAGCCTACTCATTTCAGCTGTATTGCTCAGGTATAAACAGTGATCATCATTTGAAAGCAAGAAAATAAAAACATAGGAAAACCTGGTTTCCAGTCGTTTGGGAGGAAGAAGCAGAGGAGGGTAAAGATCTCTCTAATCATTCAGATTTGATGCTCTGGCTCCCCACCTCTGCCCCAAAGAGAGCAGAAGTCAATGGGGGTAAATGCTTTTATCAGAGAGGAGCTGCATATCCCCGTGGTGGGTGGTGACTCCTGCCTGAGCAGTGCGACTTACTCTGTTCCTTTCCTGTGCTGCTCCTCTCCCTGCCCCACAGGTCACGCTGACAGCTGAGACCGACTGCAGTTTCGTCACCTGGCCAAGGAAGAAGCTGTATCTCCTCTTGAGGAAGGACCGCTATATTGCCCGCCTCTTCTCATCGCACCTTGGCTATGACATCTCGGAGAAGCTGTACTCCCTCAACGAGAAGCTCTTTGCCAAGTTTGGCCTTCGCTTTGATATCCGCTTGCCCAGCCTCTACCATGTCCTGGGACCAGCCTCCTCAGAGGCGGAGGGGGAGCTGGAGGAGTGTGGGGAGCTGCCAGCTCAACCTTCACCTGACTGTATCCAGACCAGCATCTCTGAGCCTCCTCCGCAGCCACCACTGCCTCCGCCTGCTCCACACCCCAGGGCCTCCCGGCCTGATAGTGACCTGCTGGGTGAGGACTCTACCAGTCTTGTCTTGGAAGATTTTGCTGAGTTGCCAGGGTCTTTTATGGACTATGTGAGCGAAGGGGAGTATATGAAGTGAGGGCACTCCTAGCACGGGCACGCGTCACCCTGTGTGGGATTCCCGTGTAAGTACTCGCTTGCAGAAGCAAGTTCTTCCATCTCCGCCTGGGCCTTCACAATGCAACTGTGCAAAGCTTAGCGCTAACTGCCTGGAAGAGATGAGGCCTAACACCCCCCAGTGTCTGGCCTTATTTGCCATAGATTTGATTCTTTGCAAACCTGAAAAAATGACAGAAGTTCAGGTGGCTTCCTTTAGGTCCTGCAGGGCCGAGGTACATACAGTGAGGTGCCTGACAACCCCAGAAGGAAATTGAAAGCAGGTGACTTGTAGGCCTTATCAGTTCCCTGCTGGGTAGTTTCCTGCCACAGAATAGTTTAACTAGCACAGGACACTGTCTATGGGTATAGAGATGGGTCTATAATTAGGTATCAACCCTGCCCCTCCTTTTTTTTTTTTTTTTTCTTTCATGGAAATCACCCAAAATAACCTCAGGATTACCAGATGTACATACTTGGTCATAATTATGCTAGCAAGGTTTGTGTCACTGCTGTGAGGGTTGCTGTGCTGCAGCATTTTTCATTTGCTTCCACAAAGAATCCCAGGAGATGTGCTGGATCTGTGTGATTTTTCTTCAGGAAGAGTATGGTAAAGACTTAATTCCAGGCATCAGTCAAATAGTAGGGTGGAAGAAGGACAGGTAACTTGACGAAAGGCAACTATTCCCTGCCATGTCTTCTCTCCGTGTCTCTGGGGACGAAAAGGAGCCATAACAGTGTCCAGACTGGTGGGTGGTATATGAGCGCCCACAGAGACAGCACCGGGTTCAGCCTGGCTTGCTGTGAGGTGGAGCTGAGCCTGGAGATACTCCAGTATTGAACCAAGGAAGACTGTTGTAGACAACAGAGCAGACAACCCAGGTGAGGCTGATGTTGATTAACAGTTGCGGCCGCTGTACTTCTTGCAAGTGCACTATCTGAGCAGCACAGAGAGAGCTCAGGGTCCTTCCTCCCCCTGCCCATGATGGCAGACAACAGCACTTGCTCCGTCCTCCTTGTTTCTTTTGAGTTTTGGCTCAGCCAAATCAGTAAGGCATTGACAAGACTGCCCTGCGTGGAATAGCTGTTATTTCCAGTGACCCTGCGTGGGCTGACGAGTGTTGTTTTAACATGTCCCATGCTCCCCTGTGCAAGTCCACAGAGAAAGTACTGCAGAAATGTTCTCCCTGTCTTCTGGTGAGTGGGAATAACATGCTCTCTTCTAAAATGCCAGCTCTTACTCTGCAAGGGAAAAATTTCTGGGCCTGGTTGGGGCAGATGAGCAATACAGGCGAACAGAAATAGATGGCAGGGTGACTCGTGCTTGAAATTCTGATTCAAATGGCCAAGAGTTAAATTCCATGCTGAGCTACTTTTAGCCAGCTGCTGCACACCAGCTGCTGCATGCCAGCTGCAGTCCTGAACGTGCATTTCTGTTGCTGTCCTCTGATAGCTGCTTTCTGGCATCCAGTGGCCAGACACCGAGCCTGGGCCTAGGATTTCTGTCCAGGAAGTGACCACTGCACCATGGCCAGTGGGTGGGTCTCCCTTGCATTCTGCAGGCCCCCATTGCTTCTTGATAGGCAGTCCCTGCACGGGAGAGCTGAGATTGTCCCCCAGCAGGGATCCTTGAATACTGTGCACCCCAGCACCCTGGCCTTCCCTGCACTAAGCTGAGGCTGCTGCTGAGTGGGCTTAAGAAGTGGGGAGAGGGCCCAAAGCTGTACTGCAACTGCTTGGGTCATGGCCTCACTGGAGGGCAACATGAAACAGGAGACACTGACTCCTAGCATAAGCCCTGACAAGTCTGCAGGAATCTTCCCTGCTCTGCAGGCTTCGCTGCTCTAACAGCAAGGGGACTGTCCCTCCTAGGGGGGGGTCTGAATGAAAAGGATCTTTGGATCAGATAGCAGTTGCTATATGCAATAGGCCTCTGGTGGGAGAGGACTTGTTGTCTGTTTCCTCAGTTATTGTTCTTAGCTTTTGAAAACGAATTGGAAGATCTTCGTGTTTTGTACCGTTCTGCTTTGCGCTGAGTCACACCTGTTCCTGTACTGCTTCCATGCCTCCAAACTTTAAATCTGGGATATGAAAGAACGGGCTAGAAAAGAAACAAATGTATCTGGTTTTCCCTGACTTGGATGAAAGGCTAGCCAGAGGTGTTTGTTTTGGGGAGTTTGTTTTTGTTTTTGTAATGAAAGGCAGAGAAGGAGGGGGAACACAAGGATTATTCCTCCTTTGTTTTCTAGCTTCGAAGTCCTAGGAATGTCATGTCTGACCAGTCCCTGTTTTGCTGGTAGACTGCTTAGAGATACAGATTTGCAGCTTTCTCAGTCCTTACTTGGAGAGGAAGGAACACTGAATCATTTATGAGACAGCCATCCTCTTAACTGTCAGGCATTTGTGTTGAACAGATGCAATCAAAAATAAACACAGTGAGTGTTTTAAATGAAGTAAAGTCACTTTGCCTAGACTTTGCTTGTATGTGGTCTTCTCAGCAGAAGGGATGTCCGTTCTCAGGTCATTGGCAGAGTTCTCCTGGTTGCCCAAGCTCAACAAAATCAGAATTTCAAATGAAATTAAAAAGGGTGGGGGGAGAAGGAGGCAGAGAACACTATAGCTTTTTTAAATCAAACCTTTCAGCTTCCCCTTTTTGCATCACACTGTACTGTGAAGTACTGTGAACATACATGCAAGAGGTGTATTTGTGTGAGCGTGTGTGTATTGGACAAAGCTTGTGGGACACAATACAAAACTATTCTTTCTTTCACACAGTCCCTTTAAAACTTGCTGGTAGCTTTTGTCTTTCTAGAGCTTGTGAATGAAGCAGCATCAACGTATGCTGATATTTGGAGTGAAGACCTGCAATGCAAGGCCAAATGTTTCAGAGGCGGGCATTTTGGGTGGGAGCGGGGCTGACCTTTTCTTGTCGATCAGTATTCAGACAATAGCCTAGTGTGGTATTTTAATTTCTAAGGTACTTAGACAAGGAAATGCAAACTGTTGAGCGTGGCGCTGTAGCAGAAGGTCATTTCGTTGTTATTCTGCTCACCTCTTAGGTATTCCTAGGCATGTCACCTCCCAGTAGCACAGCATCAATTGCCTCCAACAGTAAGTCAGTGTTAGGACAGTATTTCATAGTGACCTGAGCTTCTACTGACACAAATTAGTGACAAAAAGCAGCTGCAGTTCTCTGTTCTGGCCAAGTGCTCACCACAGCTCAACAGATAATCTTAGTAGGCCAGCCATGGCCCAGGGAAAGCAGTTTCATAACCTGTCTTTTAGGAGTGACGAAAACATTAATAGTGAACGGGGATATTCCCTTCAGTCCCGTTGTTCAAAGTGAGACATACCTGCGGTCCCCGAAGTCAGAGCTTCCCTGGGGCTTTCCCCTGTTCTCTGCTCACAGCTGCTTCCCCAGCAGCTTCTAACCCAGGAAATTACTTTCTGCCTCTCTAAATTCCCCTTGCTGAAGTGTTTTGATGCATCACATTCCTTTTTGTTATCTGTTGCTGCAATAGCCACCTTGCTATGCCATAGTGCAGGAAAAAATTCTGAATGTCCAGTGCTGTACAGATCATGAAGACCAAGACGTGTTCTTAGGAGATATAGTGGCCTACTGCATTTATCACCTAATTCCTTGAAAGAGTTTCTAGTCTGGTGAAGAATAAGATGATAGACTGTGATATCCTACTGATGAGCACCTTGTTTTTCTGAGGAGAGCTGTTTCAGTAACTTACAGGCTGCATCTGTTAAAATAGATTCAAAGATTTTGTTCAAAACTTGCTTTGACAGTGTACTGCAATATAATTCAATACTCCCTAGCAAATTAAGCTTTATTTCTTGAATAGGCACTCAAACAACCAAAAGCCACCTGCGTTTTCCCCCTTCCATATAGCATTTGCTCTAGTTTATTGCTATAGGATGCTTGCCAGATGCGAAACTGCTGCTGTACAGTTACATCTGTGGGTTGGCTTTCTATTTGGCGGGCGCAATGTAAGGATCAACCCCCAGTGCTTGGTGGCCTGTAGCTTGTTATCTGAACTAGTAAGAACTGCTCTGAGAGCAAAAGCAAAGGAATTGTGGCCTTGGTGTCACTAGTATCAGTGAGAGGTTTGCTTTTGCTGTCTCAGGATGGGTGTATAGCCCCAGTTTCTAATTTATAACATATGTGGAAGAATGATACAATTTTGCATACTAACTTAAGAGAGGAGGGGAGAAGGACAGGTAACAGTGGGATCCGTGAGGCTTGTGTCGTGGAAAAAGTTTGGAAGATAGGTAGGAATTATTGCTATGATAATAATGGTGGTCTCTCTCTCTTTTTCTCTCTCTGTCCCTCTTTTTCCTTCCTCTCCACCGCTTTCCTTCTGCAGCCTCTGGAAACCTTCCTGGGAGTTACCCTCATCCTCTCTTCAAAGGACGAGCCCCTCTGGCTCCCACTCAGACCCCTGAACTCTAGGGAACAGCAGGCTGTTTGGCTCTCAAAGCCCCTCTGGGGGGGTGTACGCTCACATATGTTTCTGACCACATAGACGCACTCTAGCGTGCACAGAAACGTCTGCCCACGGACGTGTACGCTTGGGAGCACGTGAAGCACACGTGTGAGACTGCAGTGTGACACTCCAGCACCTCCCACCCCATGGTCTGTTCACCAGAGCTGCCTGCCTCAATGCATTTCCCTGTTTTGTTTTCTAGTCCTGCCTCTTGGAGCTGTGTCGGCAGCTCTGACACCAAGGTGCACTGATATCACTGGAAGCAATAACAGCCTGCTCACAGAATCTGTTCTCCCTTTGTTTTGATGGCTCCCATTAAAGGCAGAGATGAAATTGCTGGTGTTTGAGGATTTGGAGAAGGAGATGCACTGTTTGAAAGGTGTGAGGTGATATCAAGGCATGGGGGAAATGACAGTGGACAATGGGATGGCTGAAGGCTCTGGTAACGGACGTGGGATGGTGGAGCTTTAGCTAGAGATTTGGTGTAATGTGTCTCACTGGGCATCTGCTCTAATCAGACCTGAAATTCCATTTCCAGGGATTTGCCCTTGTCATATATGACAAGCACCACTGAGCAATGATGTTGCCAATTTCTAAGGCAGATGACACATTGGTTGTTTGAATAAGAAAGGGGAGGAACTGGGACTGCATTTCTGGGCTCTCCTGACACAAGAGCTTGGGGCAGGTTTAGGCAGGAAGGGCCTGAAATTTTTTTTAATGCTCAGTGGAGGGTGGCCTCCAGGTGCACACAGGGGCAGAGAGAAGACTTGAGCGAGTATGAAAGCTCTGGAGAGACCAGCAGTGAGAAAGAAATGCAATATGTTAGATGAAAATGGTGTGGAAAACAAAGGCTGCTTCCAAGTTCAGCTGCAACAGGATTTGGCTGACAAGCTCCCCCAGCCACTTCCTCTGTCAGGGAATCACAGAGACAGCAGGACCAGCAGAGGAAATCCCTATCCTGCAGAGCCTGGGGTACCAGGTGAGCCTAGGAGCCTCTCCAGCGCAGATTTCCAGGGAAGGAGCAAGGAGCCTTAGTCCCTCTGTCAGCATGCCTACATGCAGGAGAACGGCGTGGCCCCAACCCTGGGGATCATCCTGGTAATGGCTGTCTCTGTGCCTAGTTGCTGGGCACTTCTGCTTCTGCCTGGTCCTGTCACCATTCACAGCTAGGAAGTGTCTCCAGCAAATTAACACAGGAGTTACTGGGGTCCCTTTTACAAACGAAGTGAAGTACTGCTCAGCACAATGGAACAGCATTGGCCTGTTGTGGTGCCTTATACACCTGCCTGAAGTAGTGGACTCTGCTGGGCTCAATTTCCCACTGCCCATAGGTGTCTGCTGAGATTATACTCCAGTTTTCAAGAAGGAGCTCCCTGGAAACTCTTCAGTCATGGCACCAGCTAACTAAGTGCTATGCTAGCTTGTCAGAGTTGGGCTCTAACCCTCTCCTGAGAGTACGCTGGAGATGGAATTTTTAACTAACCCTGCAATTATTAATACACCAATGAACCATCTCAGCACTACAGCCACATGGCAAGGCCCAAAAACTTGGGTATGAGCTGAGGGCAGGAGCTAATTGCAGTGGCAAGTCTAGTGGAGCAGTAGTGACAGCTCATGCCAAGTGACTGAGGCTTTCTCAAGGCAGAAACGCCTTTCACACGCCCCTCTTTCCTGACCATAGTGTTCCTGGTGCAGTTTTGGATCACCCAGTGAAGCCAGTCCAGGGATCCAGAAACTGTGATCTACAGAAGATGTATTTTGTGGCCAAAAGTGATGGAAGACTTTTGTCCTTTAATTTACCGATACATCAGGGTGGTGGGGGGGATGGAGAATGGAAAATGGGTGGATGAGTGAGGGCTGTCCCTGTGCGTGTCAACATGTCCCTCACATTGTAGTCTTCTAGCCAGTTCGTCCAGACCTCTGTTACCCTTCCAGGTCTGAAGGGCTACACTGAGTTCCTGGGACTAGTTTGTGTTTGCTGGCCCTGTAGCTAAGAGGCTCTTTTCTGCTCGTATTGCCTTCTATTCTGGGTAGTTGTTCAAAGCAATACAAAATGGATGTAAGTGCGTTACCGCGCCCCTGGCGTCTGTTTCACTTCCTGTGAGCTTCACAGAGAACAAGCCAGCAGCCAGAAGAGCTCCTCCAGTCCTCTGAGGGGAAGGAGATCCATTCTGATTACTTGGCAGGAGTACTAACACAAAATCAATTGGGTCTCACTCTGAAAGTGTCTTGTAGGTGGGACTAGTGAGTTTTGCACGGAGGGTGCTGGCTAACATAGTTCCCCTGTGCTGAGGAAAAAGAATACCTTGCACCTTTAATACAAAGATTTTTGGAAGCTTTAATAATACACCAATGAACCATCTCAGCACTCCCTGTGTGGGAAGACTGACATTTATCTCCACTTTTTCTTTCTTATAGATCCAAACATTGAGATTAAATGACTTGCCCAGAGTTGCTTTCAGAGCTGGGGACAGAAATGGTGAGATAAAAGTCCCAGTCCACCCTTTCAACTGAGAGAGCTTGCTGTAATGAATGCATCATGCCCTTGTTGATGTACTGCACGTTTCTTTTCCTAGACGTCCTATCCCTAATGCAGGGAGTAAAAAACCCATCCAGTTCAATACTTCGTGGTCAAAGTACTGTCCATGAGCAGGGAGAAGCAATAGGTTTTGGACTCCTTTCTGTTTCAGGTACGCCTGCCTGCTCAGGAGGCAGTGCTAGGCACAGGCAGCAGGCAGCTCAAAGGTGAGGTCTGTGTTGCCAGGGAGGGTGAGGTTCCAGGGCAGGCAGAACGTTGTCCCACTGCGGGGGGAACACAGGGAAGTCAGGCTGTGTTTGAGCAGGCAGAGATTGCTATCCTAACACAGAAGCAAGCAAGCTGCTGATGGACCTTGGGCTGCTTTTGCAAGGGTATGCTGTGCCCCAGCTGGAATAAGTTTGCCAGAGGAGTTGGGGGGTTGTGCCTCTCACCCTTCCACTGCCCTCTCCCAGCAGTATCTTTGTTGCTCTGAGTGTTTCTGATTTTGAGATAAGAGAGCATCTGTGAACCTGTGCAATCCTACAGCTCTCCACCTGCATCACAGCTGATGCCAGCGCTTGCAGGGCTACAAAGATGATCAGGGGACTGGAGCACCTCTCCTAGGAAGAAAGACTGCGAGAGCTGGGCCTGTTCAGTCTGGAGAAGAGAAGACTGAGAGGCGATACACGCTCAAGGCAGTGTGCCATGTCATCCCATTCATAAGTGGCATAAAGCCGTGTACCTGCACCTACATCCCACTTTTAGAGTGCTTTGTTCTGCAGAGCATGCTAGTAAGGAATAATCCTTACACTCAAGGGAGTGCCTGGCATTTACTTAGAAACACCTATCCCTGTCCGGGCCTCCTGGCTATGTTTTTACTGCCTTGGGCTTGAGTTTCGCTATTGCCTGTGGAGACAGAATTTGAATGTTAGCCAGACCCCCTTCTGCTTCTGGGTTTCCCTACTTGAGAGTGCCCGCTAGCTTGCTTCAGGTTGGAGCCCGGATAAGAGTTAGCTCAGCAGCAATACAGATAATCAGTTTAATGTGTCAGTATAGACCCAGCTATTTTGCCCTGCTTGCAAGAACTCTGGGTCTACAAAACTACTGGCAAAAATATTGTATTATAGGAGAAGTCCATTACCTCTCTCAGGGTGAGAAGGACTTGGCTGCTTTTACCCTGGAGAAATTAATTAAGGCTGAAGGCAAAGTACTCTGTAGTGCCTGGCCCAGGCAACGTCAAAATGGTTGTCTTTAGCCTCAGTGCTTTATAAATCTATGCAGTGTAAGAAGCGAAAATGTATTACATGTCTTCTACTGTCTCATCCTGAAAAATATGAGTGCCTGGCATGTCTCAAAATGGGTCCCATTGTAGGCAGGGGAGAGGGCAAGCAAGCAAGGGCAAAAGAATGATACCTAGTTGGCCAAGCTTTTGTCATGGTCTGTGACTTAGGTGTATTCAAGGTGTGAATGGCAGCCATTTTCCTTCCATGGCACAACACTTTTGTCCTGGATGAAGAACTGAAGAAACCCAGCAGTTTTTCTCCCTCGCAGGTAGCAAACGGTTTACATAAGGACATAGTGGGGATGTGAGAGACCCCTCTACACGTTTGTCTAAGCTGATGTAAGAATGCATTGGTTCAAGCTATAGGCTCTATCCATAGGCACAGCAGAACCCTGAGGGATATTTCTGTGGCTTACTTGTTAGTGAGGGGCAGCGAGGCTGTGCAGAACTTGCCGATGATGGATGACTCATCCTTCCTCCAAAATCGATCCCTGGGGAGATACTTCAGTGTCACATTGCTTATCTGGCAGAGAGGAACTCTGTGGGCCAGAAGCCGTTTGCCCATCTTCTGCTGCTTATGTCTGGAAGGCAGAGTGAGAGTTGTGAGGGAGAGCATTTAATCAAACTGAAGATGCAGTCCATAAGGTCAGTGGGTTTCAGATTTGTTGAAATGTCAGAGGAACCTAGAAATATTAATGTGAACCCCTCACATAACAAAACGAGTGAGAAGACTCATCTATCAAAATCAAGGCATTGCCTGAGAATCTGGGATCTAACGTTATTTTTGTCCCTCTCTCCTTGTTTCACCTCTGTAGTCAGAAACTTTTATGTATAAATATCCTTTCTTCTGTCACATAATTACAGCAACTCTTCCTGCTAATAGCCTATAGATTGCAACGCTGCCCAGATTGCTAGAGAGGTAAGTGGTAGATATGATCAGTGTCGTCTTTGAATCACAAATGGCATGCATAGGGATTGATTGTTCAGCATTTCTTTCAGTACAAAAAACTGGAGGTCATCAAAGGAAGCTAACAGGTGGCAGGCTTAAAACTGCACACTGCACAAGGTACCATTGCTTTCAAGCTGTAAAAAGCCTTGATATAGGATGTTGTGGATGCTAAAAAGCTTACACAAGTTCAAGGGAGAGGGGCTACACAAGTTCATGGAAGATACAGCCGCTGGGAGTTATTAAAACCAAAGATTTCACCTTTGGCTCAGAAAGTCCCTGAGCTGTAATTATTTAGACATTGGGAAAATACTTGGGGGAAGCATTGCCACATGTTTATATTGCCTTTTACGCTCTTCTCGAGGCATTAGACCACGTGGAAGGTAGGATGCTTGGACAGAGGGACCTTTGCCTGTCCTTATGCTCTTATCCCAAGTAGCAAGAACTGAGAAAGGCCAGATGTGGAAGAAGCAGCTAATGATCAGAGCCAAGCGGCAGACCTTCTGCTACAAAGCAATGCTGCCCAGCTGTTTTACCTAGATGGGCTGTCTCCCTTACATGGAGTGCAGCCTATGGGCCTTCTTATGTCTGCTCTATGGGGCACCTCCAGGAGCCCGGTGTTACACAGGAAGACCAATTTCCCTGTGCTTGTGAGGAATATGTGTTTAGCTGACTCAGAGCAATCCCAGGAGTGCCTGGCTGACTGCCTGTTCAGGAACGTGACAGTAGGAGAAGGGGAGACGTGAGAAAAGGGTCTGGAACAGGTTATAGTTCTGTTGGCCAAAGCTGCTCCAGAGAACAGGCCAAGGGAGGGACTCAGAGTCCTCCTAGGCCAGTGGGGCCAACCCAAAACCACAGCAACCAGTCTTTCCTTAGACTGCACTGGTGGATCATGGACAATACATGTGTCTGACTGTGTAAAGCTTGAAGCTGCCAAAAATAGGAATTGTGGCTATAAAAGTGAATAATGGACAGTAAATGGAAAACAAACTGAGGAGAATCTGTCTCTGATGCCTGTCATCCACAGGCAGGACCCAGCCCTACTATAGGGCAGAGGGGCATAATAGCGTTAAATGGGTTGATGAGATTTACTCCTGGAATTAACATTTGATCCAAACCTACAAAGACTTTGGATAGGACTCTGGCTAACTGAACAGACCTTCAGAAGTATGCTTTCTTGGGTGTGGGGGATGACATTGTGTTTTACACCACGTGACACGTGAGCAATGGTAATGCAGCTAGGAAGTGTGCTGTGTAATGAGCTCCTTGCTCTGTCAGCCCCTTGGCATCAGTGGGGCCGGGGAACCTGTCTCTTGGGGGACTCTGAACAGCATGTGCAGGGGAGTGGCATCCCAAGGAGTGGGATCAGAAGTGGTATTTGGGAGAGGACTGAACAGCAGTGAGGCAGGGGACAACTGTTCAAGTCACCCGCTGAAGGTATGAGACTGAGTGAACACTCCCAAGTCCCTGTGTAGTTCCTGGGAACTGCAGGCTGAAATACAAGTCAGATCAGCTGAAATGATAAGTCAGTGATTAATCAGTTATTAATCAGTGCCTAAACCACAACATGTGAATATATGTTTAGATGCCTGTTTGATGTTGTGAGCTTGACTGCACTGGGTGATTTGGCCTCGCCTGGAGGGGAAAGTTTCTTTGCTCTTAGCTATAGTGTGAATTAACAGGGTTGTCTCAATGTACACCCTCAAATCTGTAGGTTTATTGCTATAAGTAAATTTTTCAGTTTAGCCTTATGCTGTTGATCAGAGAGGCTTAAATGAAACAGATAGAGCTGCTGTCCTCCTAGGGTAACAATGCCTTCTGGACAGGTAACGTTACCTTGCTATAACTCTACTGTCACCTTAAAACTTGCCAGTACAGTAAAGCCTTGGGACTGCCTGCTTGTCTCACTTCCCTGGACAACCTTTCTCTCCAGAGCTCATATGCCTCCTGCCGGACAGGTATGAAATATCACATGTCTGACAACAGCGAAAGAAGTGCTGCATATTCTCCTGAGCAAATTACGGGTCCTGACTTGACCTGGGTGTTACTGTTTCCTCTCTCCTGTACCTTTGGAAAAGGAGGATTTGGCCTCCAAGTTTCCAGGGCTACTTGGACATGCTTTTGTCTTGGGGAAGGGTTAGATAGGCTTAGCTCCATCAGGCTGGAGTGTAAACTCCAAATTGCAATACTAGGCAGGAAATCCAAGTGGCTGGCAACAGTGGGAGGGCACCCTGGAGCAGGCCTCACCTTCCCCAGATCTCACCCCCCTAACTCCTGGTGCTGAGGACTAAACTAATGCAGTTCCAAGCTTCAGGCCGCAGTCTTTCGGCTTAGCAGTAAGGACCGTGTGGGAGCCAGTATTGGAGCCCCAGTGATCCTGGGAGAGCTGGCTGGAGTCCTTAGCAGTCAGTCAGCCTGCTTTTCTGAAATAGCCAGTAGCGTATACTAGCTGCAAGTCTGCACTGTGCCTCCCAGGCCGCAGCAGTGGGCAGGAAGCTGTTACAAGTCTTCTGGGGAACTTCTCTGTGGTGGGGAGATCCCCAGTTATGCAAGGGCTGGGGCAACAGCATGCTGGGTCTGGTCCTTTAATTCAGATATTGTTTGGAAGAGGGTGATGTTTTCAAGAGAGATGCAACTGTCTGCCTATGTGGTCTTGGTCCCCTACCAATGGATTTTTTTTTCCCTTACAACGGGAGCCTGGGAGTTTTGCTGAGTTACTGCAGGGGCAATAAGCCACTGGACGTTACCCTGTTTGAGCAGGGGGGTTGGACTAGATGATCTCTCCCTTCCAACCTCAACCATTCTGAGATTCTGTGACATACTTCTGACTGGGCAGAGATGCAGTTGTCTCCTCTTTGCAACTGCTGTCCTAATGGGCATAGAGAGAAACATGTGAGCCACTAAGTCTGCCAGTCTGAAACGTCTGGTGGATAGGAGCTTACTGTAGCCATCCAAGTTTGGCAAAGTAGGGCTAATAACTATTTGACAGTGATTGCGATTTGAACTGGCACAAGGTAAGGGTATGGTGTGGAAAAGGAACCATTTTAACCACACAAAAATTTTGGTATCCCAGAGTATACCCACTGCTCTGTGCACTCTTAGAAGAGATGGACCTAGCCAAGGTTACTGAATAACGGTAGCACATACCTGATTCTGGACAGCATTTAAGGTAAATGTGGAGGGACTCAAGGAGAAACATGGTTCGCCACACAGTGATTGCATTAAGGGCAATATGTTACCATTGCGCCTTTCTTGGACTGGGGTAAACGTCCTCACACATGGAGCTGGGAAAACTAGGCCAGAAACATGAACTGTCACTCACATGGTGATCTTCGCAGTGTCCTTGGTGCTGTTGCTGCAGAAAGTGATCTCAATGTTGGTGACTGTGTTTCTTCTCTTCTGCAAGTGGAACTCGACCAGGCTGTGATGGACTGGGCAAAAGGCAAAGGAGACAGGGGTGAGAGCAAATACTGCACGCTGGATCAACCCTGCCAAAGGAAGGCCTCCAGCACTTGGCCCCACAAGCACAGAGAAGATTAAGCAGACATAAGAAAGACAGACATATATTTACCATATAAGAGACACAGTGGGCAAGTCTGCATAGTCCATTGTAAACAGACAGGCATTTTCATTATCCTTACTTCAGACCTGAAGCCATGAGGCTGTGGTAACCCGAGGCTGTGCCCACACTAGTAAACCCATTGGAAAAGGCTTTATGGGGAGAGGTGCAGGGTTATTGCTCTTCAGCGGTCTTTCTCAGAGCATCTGCTCTGTTTTTGATGAGGATGATAGGTTGCAACTACCTTGTTTCCCCAGAGAATCTGCCTCATTTAACCAATCCCCTTCTAATTTGTTTTTTCTCTTTGCTACTTACCACAGAATGGGGCTGAGGGACTAGTCATTAAATAAACTTTCACTTCCTTGGGCAGCTTTCTCATGTTGACACCTGCCTGCTCCAGCAGACCTGCAGGAGGAAATAAAGCCATTTCAGGTGAAGGGACAGCCATCAGTGACCCAGAACAGAGACATAATTGGCCTCATTCACCCCTCTCACTCTCACCCTGTCCACTCCACTGCCTTGCAGGATAGATCCTTTCTTTATACCAGCGCAAATGAGAGCAAACACAAATTTGTGGTGCCCATTTGACAGGTTAACATCAGGTTAACAGGAAATTCTACTCTGGCTACCCCAGGTAATCAGCAGCGGAGTACCTCCAAATGGCTTTGTTTTATCTCTCTGCTAACAAACTGTGGCATCATTTGCACCTGTGCAAAATGAGTGGGACTAAAACCTACCAAGTCAGGAAGCTGAATACAGACATAAATGACAACCCAAGCCAAAGGTGCTGGCAACTAGGATTTCTGGATCAATTGAGAAGAGAGCCGTAGTGCGAGGCCTGCACCACAGACAAGCTGACCGTTTGACTTTGGAGACATGAGGAGGGGGAGCCCCTATACCAAAAGAGGCCTCTCCTTATATTCCTCTGGTGCCAAACTCCAAACAGCAGCACGAGAGGGCTTTTGGTACAGCCCAGTTTCAGAAACCTACAAGAGGCAGGTATTGCCTTTTCCAAATCCAAGGGTGCAGCCATCCTTGGGGTGCCATGGCAGGAGCTTTGTGAGAAGGAAGTGAGATAGCAACAGCAAGTGGTTTGCAGAAGAATGGGAATTACGGCTTCGGCTAAAAATTCCAGTTGCTTCTCTAAACAAGACAACCTTTTTGAGCTGATTGCCCAGCGAGTGATTCTGGAGACTCTTTCAATTTATTTCTGGACCCTATGAAATGTTTAAAGATCAGAAATGTTCAAGGTGTTGGTGTTCTACCTCAGGTAATATATGAGCTTCTAGGGTTTCTCTATGGAAGCCTGAAAACAGAAGTTTCTCATCATCCTCAAAGAGATGCTAACCAAATCCTGCTCAGATAAATCTGAAGCGCATGCCATGCTCTGCACTGAGACTTTTTCAGGAATGGATGGTTCCCTGCCCCATGAAGGTCTCATACTGGTACCATACCTATTCTAGGACAGGAGGCCACAAAGGGGTCAACACAGTCCAGGCAGTGTCCGTTTAAAAAATCTTGAAGACTTGTGCATGGGAATGCCACAATAGGACAGGAATGTTTCAAGGCACTGACATAGAGATGTACTGCCCTCATGTGATCACAGATCAGATACTTGTAGCCTGTAAGAAAAATGTATTCAGGGAAAAGCAGCCATGGGCAGTCTGCTTTAGCCTTCCTGCATGTTTCTAAGGAACCTACAGTCACTAAACACTACTACTGATTCTGAAGCAACGTCCTCCACATCAAATAATGTTTTGCAGAGTACCTCTGTGACTAAAAGCTTATATCCCTCTACAACGGAAGTCACACAGGAATTTGGAAATGCACCTCCTACACTAGCAGAGTGCACCAGAAGAGAGGAACCACAAGCTGCCTTGTCTCTGTCAGCGTGCCATCGATAAGGCCCCAGGATCTCTAAGATCAGAGTACGATAGCCCTGACTCTCACCTGCACTGTGACCTTGCTGTGGGATGCAACATGACCTAGGTGTCCCCTGTCACCTGACCCTCCGTGGAGCTGGCTCATCCAGAAGGTATTTGAGTATTTATCCACGCTATTTACTGTGTAAAGTCCTGCTCTCTAGAAGGAAAAGGCAATAATTGTATAAGCTAACTCTCTAAGTATAGACACAGCTTGCCGCATGGAAACAAAAATGAGCTTCTGCCAGTAGTACCTGACAGCCTGTCTGACAAAAATGTTTTCCTTGTTGATGTAACTCTATTGGTGCTAGGTTTTTGGCTCATACCAAGGTGTCACCAAAATCACATCTCCTGCCAGCAGTACTGCCAAGAGACTTGACTTGTATGTGCTTTTTGTTCCAGCTGCTTGTACTTCTGTGAGGAGATGTGAGCCATGAAGCTCTGCTGCCATGTGTCTTTACAAATATATTGTCCTGTTTTGATGCCTGCCCTGGCTGTAGTGGGAGCTGATTGTTAAACAGCATTTTCACAGGCTGCTAAGTGGTTATGAAAGCCCTTTATTTGGCCACAGAGTGTTCTCACCTGCAGAGATGAATTGGGGGCATCCTGGCTGATCTTTGCCTCCATTGACGAAATAATCGATGTGGCCTACAGGTATCCGAATCCCAAAATCTGAAAGGAGGTGAAATTCTGCTTCAGTCTTATTCTTGACTGTTCTGTTGCCTCAGGCTGTACTCTACTCGTTTTTCACAGGCTCCAGTAACTGGGTTGAATATTAGCAGTGCTGGACCCAACTAACCCCCCACGACCTGTTTTTTTCACACAGCAAAAACAGATTTCCCCTTTCTTCCTACATGCCTGCATTGTGCAGATAGTGCCATCTCTGGGGTCTGCTGCATGGAGCAGAAAGCACCAACAGGCCTTCTGCTCCTGGCCCTGCCCATCAAAATGACGGGCAACTTTGACTACACTGCTGCGTCTGTGACTCAGTTTCCTGACTCTGTAAAATGGGAACACAATTGACTACCACCATAACGGAGGATTATGAAGTATGACTGAGAGTTATGCTGGTAGAGAGTTATGCTGGATTTGACTCTGTCATTCTCTCCATGGGCGCTCGCAGTGGCACCTCTCTGACATCAGCTGTGAAAAAGCAAAGCAAGAATGGGCATGTAAATTCCTTCCAGCTGGGTAAAAGCCACAACAGCAGGACTAACAGAAACTCCCTCTGATGTAACAGGATTAAGGAAGAAATATTTGCTGGAAGATTGTGTCTACAGCAGGGAAGTTTCCACTTGTGTTGCTGTGAATTGTTCTGGGGTATAGACACCTGCCCTGATTTCATCTCTTTTAATTAAAGCCTATCTAATCAAGAGACATCTTCAGAGTTGACCTGAACTCATGGTCATCTGGTCTAAAGGGGACAATGACCTACATGACCCTTAGCAATAATGACGGCAGAAGGAATGGAAGCACAGTCTGAAGAGGATAGAAACCAGCCTACTGTCAGCATCGGTATGAATGGCTTCCACAAAGAGGGCATCCCCAGGATCCAAGCGTTCCTCAGGGCTGGCTCTGGTGTACTTAGGGCCTGCGGGATCCAGGCCTGTAACAAATCAAACAACCATCTGAAGCAACGCTCCTCAGGTCCTTTCTTTCTTATTTCTGGACCAATTATTTTATCCAAACTTTTAAAAAAAGTTGCTAGGCAGAAGTGGTAAGTTGCACTGATTATACTCCAGAATGCTTTCTGTTCCCACTAAGTTCCACTACAGCTTCCTTACCTTGTCCTCTACTATTCCTAGACATCCACTCCCATGTAGCAGTTCTGTACCAAACAGCCTTCAAACATGAAACCTCAAGTTTGTCATGATTAAGCTTCAAATTGCCCTGACAGAAGTGGGTGCAGAATGTCTCTTGGACTTGCAATGAAAGAGAATCAGTCATACTTGTAACAGTTTCCCTATTTGTACTGTCATCTATATTAACACTAGTCTGAGAAATGTCACTGAAGACCATGAGTAAGATGATGCATTCAGCATCCAGGGCATTAACCAATCTCAATATTACAAAGGTTTGATACCTGTCAAACGTCCTTAAAACAAAGGGGCTTCTGAGGTCTCTCCACACAAATAAAAACTAGTTCTCAAAAGCAGCCATCTGCATTTTTGTCTCAAACTTGCTCCCAGAGCAAATTCTGGGGAGTCAAAGGAGTAAAGAAATTTCTCCTTGGCAGTACCAAGGAATAGGTTAACGATCATTTTCTTATTCTAGCTGAGGTTTATCCTGTTGACTTTGCCTAGGAAAATCATCTCACAAGACTTTTTTCACTCTCCAGGCAAGAGGAACAGTTTAAGAAGCAGCTCTGCTGCCTGTTTCACTACCTTGGACTCAGTCCCATTATTTCTCTATGGAAAAGGCAGTATCAACAGAATACAAACTGATGTGTGAAGGGGGCAGGGGGAGAAGGGAAAAAATAAGAAGTCTTTCTGATTCCTTCTAAAACTAAAAGCTAATAAAAAGAAGCGATCAGAAGAAGAATTTACTGCCTTTTTTCCTTCCTCCATGTTCTTTCATCTTTACACATACAAAAAGCTGGGAAGTTCCCTTCCTGCTTCTACAGATCGAGTTTTAGCTAAACACTTTAGAAGAGACTGAAAATGCTCTTCAGTATAACTTGAAGTTATTCCTGAGGATGGTGGTACATTTAAGATAAACAGCAGTTAGTTCTAGCACCACAGCTCCAAGCCAAGTACTTTTCTATCCTCTTTTCTCTGTGCCTACCTCCTCCAAGCACAAGCTGCATCAACTTCTTTGAGAGCTACAAAGCCTCAGCAGCTTAGCAAACTATGCACTGAAGCCTTAACTCTCTATGCAGCTGAAATCCCTCAGGGTTTGTCATTTCTTCTGCAAGAACTGAAACAAATTGCTCTTCAGCAATTTTGTGTATGGGCTGTCCATTCCAGTTCCTGTACCATTTGCCTTCCTGCACAAGGAGATATCCACAGGAACAAGCTTGGGTCAAAGAAGCTCACTTCATAAAAAAAGCATTTGTGCTCTGAGCTTCAAGACTTTCATTCTTTTTTTGCTTCACAGCTCCTTTTAGGTGACTGAAAATACTTAAGGAAGTTATAGCTCTGGGACCACATTGCTCTATATGTGTGTTCGTGCATGGGTGTGAGAGGGGTAGGGGATAAGATCAGACAGATATCTTGGGTCTGATTCCACCTGTCTTAAGCTGCTAAGTCTGAACTTGAGCCTACAACGTCCAGTGGACCTTTGAAGTCATAAGGCAATCAGGAGCATGGAAAAAGGATTGTCTTGTGGCAGAGCTGAAAAAGAAGGGAATAAATAAACCTACAGAGTTTTTATTACATGTAGAAAACAAAGAGGAAGAGTCTCTGACTCTGAGGTTAATTACAGAATCACAGAATCACAGAATGGCCAAGGTTGGAAGTGACCTCTGGAAATCATTGAGTCCAACCCCCCTGCTCAAGCAGGGCCATCTAAAGCACATTGCACAGGATTGTGTCCAGGTGAGTTTTGAATATCTCTAGAGAAGGAGATATTAATTTCCATGCTTTCCTTCGGAAGAGTGTGCTTCCGCTCATCTGAAGATGTTGCTGATCACAAAATGCTAGTGCAGGAGTTTGTCCAAAGCACCTCCTAATAAATACTTTCATTCACAGCTTTAAAAAAAGCCTGGCAAATCATCTCCTGGTAAGAAATGCCTGTGTTTCATGCATGCAGTGTGGGTAGCTGTGATGTGTGAAGGCCAAGCCAATGTTTCTGTGTTCTGCCCTGCTGAGTGTGCCGTGAGGCCCTTAATAAGGATACCTCGGTGAGGCAGCCCGGCAGACTGGGAACTGTGTTCAGCCTCTTGGTGCCCTTGTGTCTGTTTCTTATTTGTGGCATTTTACCATCCATCAGGATTAATCTCCATCCCTGGGGATCCCTGAAACTTGGCAAGTCAGCCCTGCTTCACATGAGGGGTTGGACTAAAGACCTCCTAAGGTCCCTTCCCACATAAATCGTTCTGTGTGTCTATGCATGCCCCAAGCATAAAGGCTGGCGTGGCCCTGAGGGCACCCGGAAGCTCTAAATGCCATGATCAGCCTGTAAACCACCCAACTACAACCTCTTCCTCACACCCGCAGTGTGAAACTGTTTATGATCAAAGCTAGCTCTGATATGGTACAACTGGGTGGCCTTGGACCAGTCGGCTGTGAAAATCGCCAAGTTGTGAGGAAGAGCAGGAAGGAAACCGGCCCCCCCCCCCCCCCCACCACGTTAGTGCAGACTCTTGCCCTTGGCTCTTGCCTGAGCTGTGTCGTAGGGATGCTATGCCCAAGCCTGTGCCTTCCTGATCCTGCTGTTGTCTTCCTGACTTTACATCCTGCTTGAGCTTGGACTTGCTTCATCACTACAGACCAGCCTGATGATCACTGGGCTGTGGCTGACCCTGGTTCTTGTTGCTACACCTGCTCTGCTCTTCCTGCCCAGGTACCATAGGACCGTGTCCCTTGTCAGTGAGGGCACTGCCCCTGCCTGCCTTGCTGTCACCTTTGGTTCCCAGCTCACTTTTCCTTGAAGAGCAGCCCACTCTTGCTGCTCTCCCACAGTGACATGCATTGTGAACTTTAATTTTAGGAACCACAGAGGCCATACACGCTAAAAGGTGGAAGCAAAGCATGTGGGTAGTGCAAGTTTTCACTAGCCACCAGGTCTAGCTGAGCTTTGCAGCCTAGTACTCTTCTAAGCTGGCACCATTTTGAAGAGTGGAGCAGAGGCAGAAGGACCCTTTTGCAAACACATGCATTCTTTTGGCAGTGGATGGGGGACTAATGGCAACTGAAAGGCATTGCCAAGCTCTTCTAAAGCTAAGAAGCCCATAAGCTTGGGCCTAATGAGCCCTTATGCAGTTAAAGGACCACTATGGATGCATCCCCTTCCCTGCTCTTTCCTTCTCTCCCTTGAACAGCAGGTGAGGACTCAAGACCCAGTTTTACGATACCTGTTATCCGTCCCAGCTGACCACCATGGAAGTGCCCCACCAGACCCCCGACATGTGCACCGAGGCTCACCCCAATAATGTGGATAGATGTCCCTGAGACTCCCAGGGCCTGCAGATTGATGATAATATGATTTAGCATTTCTGTAGCAGAACGTTGAAATACGTTTGTCCCAGCTCACTCCATAACTCTTACAAAGCATTGCTCTTGACGTGTATAGTGGAGAACCAAAAAAGATGTGGAAAGATGATGGATATTGCCCTTACTGTTTTTCAGAGCCTTTCTTGGGGTCCACAGATGCAAAACCAACCCTAACCAGGCCTGTCAGATGCTCCTGTTCATAATTATGCAGCCTGTTGCTTCTCTCGCCACAGCTTGGTTTATACTGAAGTTCCTCCTCTCTCAGCTGAGTGACACATCTTCCCCATGTGAGTAATCTCTTCCTCAGTAAACCAAAGGAAGATCACGTTCTTTCACTTCTATGCCACCATCATACCCATAACCTGATTATCATTTTAAGTTTGTATTTTTAGAGCTTAAGTTTATATCCATGGGCTGAACTGTCAGGTAAATCACAGCCACTTAGACATGATGTAAAATGATGTAAAATGGATTCCACCATCCAAAGGAATCCAGCTGGCTGCAGGCTGCTCTGCATGATGCAGTACCATACAATGGGAGAGGATGCTGTGCAACAGGACTCAAGGTCTGACCCACTCTGATGTCCCAGGACTTTACTGTGTGGTTTTTGTTTGTTTGTTTTTTTGCATGAGAGCATGGGGGGAGATGACAAATGCTGCCTCTGAAATAGGTGAGGCTACATCTTGGAGCAGCACTGAGGCTATTAAGAAGCACAATATAGTGCTCTGGTGTAGTGTAGTGGGGAGAGGCTGGGCAGAGAAAGACCTTAAGTACCAGACTAGAGCTCAATACAACCACAGAATGGATGGTGAGGACTGAATAGCAGCTCAGTCATTTGTTCACTGGGCAACCTGAGCAGTAATGTGGGGTGACAGTCCCATTATTACTCTCTCCCTCTTTCTCCTAATGACACAGCAGCTCCAAGAGTTGCCATATTTCTGGATAGAAATGCGTGACTTTGCACAATGTGGTGCATACCTAGGAACTCCCACAGTGCGCAGCCTGGGCCCGCAGTGCAAATGTCACAGAGAGAGTTTACGCATGACTGGTAAATACAAAGATGTGTCATCCTCATTGCGTAAGTGTTGTTCAACTGTGCTGTACATGAGCAAACTGGGACACATCTAGGGTTTTCCTGCCACTGGGAAGTATGTCTGAAGCTCCAAAGCAAATGTAAAATAGCCTCAAATCCCACCCCCTCTAGCTCCCTGGACAAAATTTCTTGGCAGAAGAGGAAGATCTGTCCAGTGAAGCATAGACCTGCAATAACCCAAGACACCCTGCAGCTTTGTCCTGGGCTTGGAGAGGTAGCTAACAACTGGAATGTGTTTCCAGGAAAAAGTCAAAACTCAAGAGAAAGAAGAAAAACAGCGGCACACTCAAGCCTGGGCTGAGAAAGAAAGGAAAAACAAACAAATAAATAAATAAATAAAACTCTTTAGCACTACACAGTGCTCACTCCGGAATAAAGAGCCTGCTTGACCAGCTCCTAGGGTCAGCAGGTTGGGAGCAGCTCTCTGGATTTTTTGCACAAATGATGTTCTCTGGTCATGTTCCCCCACCACTGGAAACGCACAGCAGCTTACCAGCAGCTTGCTGATGAAGCGCGAGATGGAGAGGGCCAGCCGTGTGACGTTTTCCACTGCAGAGGCATAGGTTCCTGTAGACCCATAAACCCAGTCCACTGCAATCACGTTTGCCTGGCTTGCACGCAGTATGGCACGGACGAGCCCTTCAATCCAGGAAGGTTTGGTACCCAAAGCCCTGCCGAGTCATGAGAAACAAGTTTGTTAGGCGTCTTCCAAAGCAGGGCATGTGCCAGTGTGTTGTTTACTGGTGCTGGAGCTTCACATATCTCAGAGGGCGTGGCCAGATGGTTCATGAAAGTTTTTTCTGTTGCCAGACAGCCACACCTCGCATTTCTTTTCTGCAGTCTAGTAACAAACTCTTTCCAGCACAGGCTGATTCAGAAAGGAACTAGATATTTTAATGAGTGAGAATAACATTTGCTGGGCTCAGACTGAAATCTTGGTCTTGCTGTGGTGCTTCAGTTGGCCACCACAAGAGCCACGTGGGGAAAGTGAACTGACCAGGAGCACCTGGCTCCCGCTCCGCAATCAACTGGCAAGAAATCCTTGGTCAAATCACCTAATCTCACTGCTACATTTCTTCCTCTGCAGAAGATAAAAAAGTCTATATCCATATAGAATACTAGGAAAACGGAGGAGGCTGTATCCTGCCTGTTTCCGTTAACAGCACCTGGTGTGTGTGTGGGGGGGGGGGGGGGGGGGCTGTATCATATGAGGGGAACAGCTGTTTTTCTGAAAAGCTCCTGTAACACCTTTTGCGGTTTCATTATGTTTTTCTCTGCACTTTCCATTCAGGCTTTTGCACTTCAAAACAAATAATGTTACATGTTCATAAGCTGGCTGGAAAATGGCACAGTAGAATAAGCTTGCAAAATGTGATAGCTTACAGAAACCTGGCTCAAATCTTTACATTTTCAAGATTAGAAGTACAACGTGTCTCACAGGGCTGACCAATCCAGGGTATTGATGAGTCAGGACCTGAGTTGCAAGGACACAACTGAAAGGGAATAGTATCTTGAAGACAAGACTTATTAAATAAAAAGGGGGAAGAGAGAGAAGAAATTGAAAGGAAGAAAGAAAGAAGGAAAATAATTTTCTAGATTTTGTTTTAGGCTCAGAAAATGTGAAACAAACACCAGATAGGCAGCTGGTCACAAGCTGCAGGACATAAAGTTATGCTGGAATGAGAATAGTTAGCAGCATTTTCCATGCTTCTGGCCCTCACCCACCAGCACTCTCCCAGAAAACTCCCAGGTACAGTTTGGGAGCTGGAGCACTCCAGACATTGTTTTTAGCAGGCACTTTGCCCACAGCCGCTCTGCTGGGGAGACTGAGGGTCATGTGGACGGGGAGTTTCCATGCCAGGCCCGTTTAATGTAGCAATGTCAGCGTTTAATGTACTAGCATAAACTTAGACACAGTTTTTTTTTTTCCTCTCACCTGAAGCCATGGATTATGATCTTGGTTTCCAGGCTGCTATTGAAACTGGAGTTCTTGATGCTATCGTCAGCAAAAATCAGCTCCCCACAGCTGGGTCTGGAGGAGGTGAATAGAAGAAACTGGACCTTAAGTTTACTGCCCCGCAGGAAATTTGCTCTCTGGAAGTCAGTGCAGAGATGCTCTAAGACTTTGTCTGTATTTCCTGCAATGAAAGGGAGTGAGAAGTATACCTAGCCTGTGTCTGTGCAATGGAGAAAAAAAGGCCATTCTAATTCCCTGAGGAAATGAAGATAGCAGTTTGGGTTTTATTAATGAAGAGTAAAGAGACAGAAGATAAATCAACATCAACCTATTCTGGAAAACAGGTCTTGTCCAATAAGGTTGTGTCTATTCTTTGAGGGAGTTCCTGCTCTGGCTGGAGAAGATAAGTGTAGGCGTCACGATAACCTTGAGTTCTGAGAGTTGTTTTACTGAGATGTGAATGACATGATTTTTTTTTCCAAATCAGCTGCATGGAACAGCAACTAAGTACATTTATGAGCGGGCTATTATTCTTAAAAAAAAAAAAGTTGCTAATAGGTAGTCACCGTTGATTGGGAATATTTCTGTTTGCATTCTGCTAGGCTAACTAGAAGGTACAAGTCTCTCTGACATTTGTGTCAAAAATCCAGAAATAAAGATGACAATGCTGCTGATAAAATGATTCGGTGATGATCAGTTTAAAGGACGAGAATATTTTATGGGAAGAAAAAGGCAGCTACTGTAAGGCATTTTCATTTAGCCAGCAAAGAAAAATCCTCACAGAATCACAGAATAGTTGGGGTTGGAAGGGGCCTCTGGAGATCATCTGATCCAACTCCCCTGCTCAAGCAAGGTTAGCTACAGAAGGTTGCCCAGGACTATGTCCATTTGGGTTTTAAATATCTCCAAGGATGGAGACTTTACAACTTCTCTGGCTGACCTGTTCTAATGGGCAACCAGCCTCACTGTGAAGAAGTATTTTGTTATGTTTGAGTGGAATTTCCTGTGTTTCAATTTGTGCCCATCGCCTCTTGCCCTGTCACTGGACACCACTGAGAAGAGTCTAGCTCTCTTTTCTTTACACCCTCTCATCAGATATTTATAAACATTGATAAGATCCCCCCTGCGCCTTTTCTTCTCCAGGCTAAACAGTTCCCAGCTCTCTCAACCTCTCCTTATATGAGAAATGCTCCAGTCCCTTAATCATCTTTGTGGCCCTTTGCTGGACTTGCTCCAGTATGTCCACGTCTCTCTTGTACTGGGGAACTCAGAATTGGACACAGCGCTCCAGGTGCGGCCTCACCAGTGCTGAGCAGAGGGAAGGATCAACTCCCTCTACCTGCTGGCAATGCTCTTCCTGACGCAGCCCAGGACAGTGTTGGCCTCCTCTGCCACAAGGGTGCAAACCTATGACTAATACAAAACTGGACAAATTTAGCCTAGAAATAAATAAAGAAGTTTAGCAGTATGTATGGCTAGTGAGTAGAACAGGTTGACCACAGAAGAGCTGGATTGTCCACCTCGTACTGTTGTCCCAAAGAAGGGGACCATACCTCCAACAATACCACTTCAGAGTAGGACTGGCTGCCATTTTGGAAGGCTTGTTGAAGGCAAAACACTGGGTTTACTGAAGGACTAATGGTATGAAATTTATTAGCCTGTGATTAGCTGAATGTCAATTAATTGATTAAACGATCCCTTCTGGCCTAAAAAATATTGCTGTATGAATTGGCATAGCTGCATTCTGCTGGAATGACAATGCATGCCCCTTCCCTTCATGGACTGGAGGAAGTGAAACGGCCTTGAATCTGCACATGCAATAAAATAGCAAAAAAAATAAAGCCACCGGCTTCCTAATTGCTGACTATTCCCATTAAAAAATACTTTACAATAGCTAGGCAAAACATGGCATAAGGGCCAGAAAGGATCTGTGTTAAATCTTGCTTCTTTGTGCTGAACCTTATACAATACAATTAAAGAAAGAAATAGAAGTGTGGCTTCTGTTTATTTTCTCTTGAGTAATTCAGATTAGAACTGCTCAGCATTCATGGCAGATGATGCTGATGCCAGAGGTCAAGTAGTCCTCCACTTCCTTGCTCTTTAGGGTAATCTTGGATCAGTCTTTTAAATGAGGTCAGTGGAACAAAATCACTGACAGAATCAAAGCATGAGATAAGAAAGAGCCATTCCCGCACTGCCCTGTCTTCTGGCATCTAACTGGATTGTAGCAGAGATCTCTTGAAACATAGGTTATTTGAGGAGAATTGAATTCAGAGCCTTCTATGTAAAACCTTAAATTGCTTGACAAGTAGTCACGTATTTCTTACCTGCCTGTGCTGAGCTGAGCAGCCAGATGACAGCAACAACAACTAGAGGCTTTCTCTTCAGATCCTCAGCCATCTTCCTGTTAGTCCACAGCGCTAGAAGTACAAGGACTACATAGGGGAAAACAACTGTGGCAGGACTGTGGAGTTGCTTCATCAGCTTGACTGTTAATGATCAACTGGCCTGTGCTCTTTTGGGAAAGGAGGGTAGGGGCAATCTCCTCTGCTCTTAATTGACCAAAGTCTGTTTCAGCACAGGGCTTCACAGGTATTTTAGTTAAAAAAGATGCTGATACCCCTTTTCCTCCCCACTTCTCTTTCCCTGAGGCAAAGTTATCACTTCAGAAATCAGCTAGTGAAATCATTTGCAGCACCCACCAGAGTTAATATGTGCTTTATCCTTGTCACCTAGCCCTGTCTGCTATATTCTGAGTGGAGACACTGCTTAGTCATAAGGCTTCACAGTATGTCCATGCCAGGAAGATTTGTAACAGAGAATTGACTGGCCCTGGCTCTAGGTATTGTCCTTTTGCACTGCTGTCTTTTTCCTGTATTTCTGCTTTTGGTCAGGTTCCAGTGACTGCCAAATAAAGGCAAAGCAACAGATTGCTTCTGAAAAGTGAGAGGAAAGACAGGTGAAAAGGTAAACAGTGGTCAAACTGCTGCGATGCGCTCAGACCGTATATTTCTTGGGGCAGGGACACTCTTCACTCCTTTTGGAGACTGCATTTTGAATACTACAGGAAATCAAACGGATGATCTCAGTTATGCCCCAGTACTGTAAGCATGCAAGTATTTCCAGCAGGCCTCTTTGAATGTAAGACTTCACTGCTTGGCTGTACACAGATCAGGAAGTTTAAGTGCACAACCACACCCAGATCTGTGTGTAATTAGAGGTTTGTCTGTCACACTGCATTCAAGAGATGGCAGTACCTTCTCACTGGCTGTGTTAGCCTTTAAGATAAGGGCATACCTGTTTCCAAAGTCTCACTGGTGCACGTTGGTCCTTCTTGCCGAAAAAGAAGGCAGCTCTCCGCTTGTATGTGTTAAATGGCAAGAAGCAGTGAGAGGAGCGTGCCTGTCCAGGCACTATTCTATAGCTGCTTCTTTGAACAACACATGGAGAAATTGGCTCAGTCTGATCAGAGAGATGAGTAAAGAAAGACCTTTACAAAAGCATCAAATACTATTTTCCTTTACAAATATCAGAGAAAGCAATCATTTCCTGGCCCCAATTTGCTCCTGCCAAAGGCTGTGAGGAAGGGAAGCTGGTTTAGGCAGAAGATCTTTACTTCCAAGGCAATCCTCAGAGAAATTACTCCCGTTCTCTCAGGGGAGTTAGGCAGCAACAGCCGCCTGGCCTGGAGGGCTACTGAAGCCTAGCTCCATCTGCATCTTCCCAGAGACACATATACAGATACATTCTGATCCTGAAACACTTGGCTCCATGACCATGCAGGATTCAATCAGAGAAGTGGGTTCTTAGTGTCTCTACAGATACACTGCTGATGTTGTCAACACTGTCCATTTTCCACGATTGAAAGTACCACTAAAAATAGCCTGTTCCTGGCTTCCAGCCCACGCTTCTTTCTGACCTGAGCACCTGACCCAGGTGGATTCTCAGAATGTAAGACAAAAGCTAACTTTAGACTGTAAAGGGCCCATCATTACTCTCAGAAATTCCCCTGAGCTGGATAACTTCAGAATCAAGTAAATAAACTTGTGAAATCATACCCATAAACAGTGACATTTCCATGCAACATAGTTTGGCCTCCAGAGCAACAGCGTACTTGTGAAAATGGCAGATAGGGACCATTTCCATTTTTTAACTTAAAATTAGGAAAATAAGCTCTTCCTCTTTGTAATAGGACGCAACTGTTACTCTTTGCCAAGTTCTATGGAAGTTTTGAAATGCCATGTTATACAAAGTAGGCATTGGCATTACAGCTTTACAGTTAGGCAAATCTGCAGCCAAGATGTACAATTGGATTTGGTTTTGCGCCACTGTGTGTGCTTTCAGCATTGTTAAATGACATCCTACTATGCTAAAAGAGATACATCTTCATAAAAGTGAAATATATGTTTCTTTAATAGTTTTTTTTCCTGTAACCTCAGTTTTAGCAATTCTAGGAAATTTTTGATTGTGTCAGCATGCTGTCATGGTCCCTTATGCAATCACAGAAAGCCATTCAATTCCTCTGTGCTTAAAATACTTCTACCAGTAAAACTATTTCAGTATGAAGGTTTCTCTTTTTTTGTTTACGAATTTAATTACTCAGTAACTACAGCTATAATAGTTCAGAAACATGTGCTGCTATCACTTATTTTACTTCCCAATGAGAGTGATTATAATGGCAACGGGGACTTTTAAACTGTTAAAAAAAGACTTTTGAACTACACTAGATTTTTTAAACATTTTCTTGCAGTGTACTATCACAAAGCATAATATGATTCACTTGAGAATGAGTCAGAGAAAAAGAAATAAAGCAAACCAACTTAATTTTATGTACAAATTCTTTTCAATAAAATTTGAGAATTGCCCTATCTGCACATTCAGGCAAACACTAGAAATGCCTAATTCCACTGAAAATGTCATCTCCCAACCCACAAAGCAACAGCTTGAATGAGACATATAAGCTTTGCAATATGTCCAGCAGTCAAGTGGGGATCTGCTCATGGGGAAATTCACTTAGATTTGAAAGCTATTAATTGGTAACGGAAACAATGCAGCCTGAGTAGCAGTGGGTGGCCTTGGGCAAAACCAAATGTGATTTAAGCAAATGATGGCTATTTAAAACCCTTGTGGTCTTTGTATTCGAGGGAGGGTATGAAAGACAGGCGTAGCTTAGCTTACTGTACATTAAGGCCTAGATCCACCCCACCACTGCAATCTTTAGTATCCCAGCTTCAGTATTTTCTGTCCTTAGCCCTTGCAGCAGAATCCTTAGCTCAGCGTTAAGCACCTAGGCTTCCTACGTATTGTCCCCAGAGTTTGGTTCTCACCTCAGCAAGAAGCGGTTCAAGCTCCTGACTTTCAGAAGACTGCCCTAACTATCAGCAGGAAATAAAACATTAAAGATCAGCTTGGCCAAAGAGGGAGGGAAAGCATGGGTAAGTCAGATTTGGCACTCAGTCAGAAAAGGAGGAAAACAGTCTTTGCCTCGAGTCTTTATGCACTCCCCACCTAGTACCAATATGTAACTACGCAGAAGAAGGGAGAACGCAGGCCTGGCATGTATCCCTGTTGTCCCTAAGAGCAGAGGAGCCTAGGTGAGGCCCCTAGCCACCTTGCTCAAGTTTCTCTCTCACTTTCGCTGCCTGCAGAGCCCTAATTGGTCTCTACAAAGTGGAGCAGCTGCAGTAGGAACAAGTTGGACCTGCTTTGAGTGCGTGTGTTAGTCTCCTGTGGTCCTTTCCAACCTAAAATACTCTGTTTCTGACTGATAGTGCCTCTCCGCTTCAGACTTTTATCTGTTAGCCCAGACTTCATAACCTACAGGAAGTTGTAGTGTGTAAGGTGGGAGCTGGCATCTCCCCAGTCAATAAAGTCTAACCCAAAGCCTGTGACATCTTGGGAGAATGTTTCACTGGGCAGGAGGACTGGTCAGCAGTAGGGAACAGCTGCTCCTGCCACTAGTATACCGCAGGGAGATGGCCATACTACATTTCAGGTGTAAACACTGTGACTTGGAACCTCCTTAGTGAACGGGCTCCCTTTTGACACCTGATTGATAGAGATTGAGAACAGGAAAAGAGAACTGAGGGACAGAAAGTTGTCTCTGGGTTTCCGTCACTGAAATTTCTGTGACTTGAAATGGCTGGTTTCTATCAAAGGAATTTATGGGTTGGGTCAGACTCCATTTGCACGTCATTTTTGTGTCATAGAAGTAAGCCTGTTGTAACAATAGGGCCATGGAGAATTGTTCAGTATGATTCTGATTTTACAGCAACCGAATGAGATGGCATTGTTCGGCCCAAAGTACAGCATCATTCTAGGTCACGCTACAGCCTTTAGTGATGAACCAAGGGAGCTTTCAGCAATTCCTAGAAGGAGGGGAAAAAAAGACTCAGTGTTGGAGCATCTTTGAGGTTGATTTTGGAAGGTCCTCTGCTTAGAGATTGCCGTGTCTGTCAATTTTCTCTGAACCACTACAGGCACTGTTGCATGAAGAATGGAGCTGAGGTCCCTGTGAGGGGTGGTGAATGGACTGACACAGTTGCTCAGCAGTGAGCTTTTGGACTAGTGCACTGAGAAAGACAGCCAAAGGCTGAGCCTGCAGTGAGAGCCTCCCTATCCAGCACTAGCACTGTGGTGGTCTCACCGGGGAACAGGCAGTAGAGCTCCTGGAAAATGAGCATGCCTTGAGGGTATAAGATGTGCAGTTAGCCCTACCATCAGCTGGCTTTTTCTCAGCCTGGATAGTACAGTGTCAGTGCAATATAGGCAAAGGAGACTGAAGCTTCCATTTACCCCAGCAGCCACTCACAGTTATGGGAGGAAAGCTGAGTCACAGCTGCTGCTAGAGTGTTTGGCAGAGTGACAACTCTTCACACTACTGATTGTTAAGTCTCCCAAAGCGTGGTGTTTTCCCTTTCTTTCTCAAAATTGCTCTGTAGTATCGAAAGGCCAGTCACTAGCAAAATGCTCAGGGAGTGTAATTCAGATTGTTTTAGTTATGTGAATGGCGTTTTGAGCAGGTGGGGTTGAAGGAAACTCCTAGAAGTTAAACTTGGTTTCTGGGGTTTTTTTTTTTCCCCCTCTCCTTTTTTAACTCGGGCAGAATGGTTATCTCCACAGAGCCCAGCCCAGCCGGCTCCCAATGGCAATGCTGCCTGGGTCAATCCTTCAGTGACACAGACGAGCATAGCTTAGAGGTGATAGACAATAAAATGGCCAGCCCTCAGAAGGAGGCATTGCCAGGTGTCCCCCAAAGGGAAGAGCAGCCATTTGGGGGAAAACTGGTGTTGAACACCAGGTTTTGAGGATCAGAACTTTCTGCGTTGCTGAGCTGCGTATTAGTTGTTGAAATTTGTTTTGTGACTCCCATTCCACGTTCAGTTGCTTTAAATTCAGCTTTCTGGGGCAACAGAGCTGCAACACCCCTATTCTAAGAGCCGCACTTCCATTTCAGCCCTAGGTGCTTGCTGGTGCCACGCTCCGAGAA